AAGAAAAGTTGGTTATTTGTCAAAGACTTGAACTCTTTGAGGTGTGTCCTGCAAATGTACATCTGTTACCTACCTTCTTTGTATTTTCTATCAGTTTTGTGTATTAATTTAACGTCCACTCAATATGCTTTATGTTATTATAGACAAAGATAGAATAAATATAGCTGTGAAAAGAGGGATGCTTCACTGGGATGTTCTAAGAAAATTTAAAGAAATAATTTGATCTATATCCCAGCAACTTTATAAAGGCATAGAAGACAGGATTGGAAGGGATCTGGAGAGATTGTCTTGTATACCCTTCTTGCCTAACTATAGATAAGTCTTTCTTGACCATTCTGGCTAGTTGTTAAATTTTCTTTTTGGTAGGGCTATTGTAATAGTAGCCTTGTTGCTGACCCAGGCTGCTGACACTATTCTGTTGGTGGAGTCTTGTAAAATGTATTTGTCATGATGCAAAGAAGTGTATGTAGCCAGAGGCACATACTCCACACTAAAGCAGGAGTTAACAACCAATGTTACTATAGACTCAATGGTGAAAACAAGTTTTGATTCTATGAAATACATGTATTGCTGTGTAATTTTAAAAATAAATATAACAAGATTATGGTAAAATGAATGTATGTACTACATAAGTGATTTATATATACTTTAATAATTCCAAATGAAAAAAAAAGTTAGGAGTTCATTTTGTTCACTTATTTCATGAAACAGTAATTTTGGGATGTGATTAAAATTTTAAATTTTTTCATGAAGTAGCTTACCAGTTGTCTGTAATATAGATATGATTTGGGCTGTTAACCATCTCAATTCTATACTTTGCCAGCATGTTGTATCTCTTCCTTTTTTAAACCTTAAACTTGCATTAATCTCTACACAAGTAGAGTTTGTGCCCATGCTTACCTTCAGGATAAAACACAGGGTACTCAGTGTGGGTGTCAACTGCCACAGGGCTTTTGGCTAGAAGCTCTTCATCCCTGGGGCCTGCTGTTAGATTAGGAGAGATACATAGCCGAACAGGTTGCTGGTCTTGGGGCTGAACCATGGTGGGTAAGACGTCTATGTTACTTTTGTGACATGACCTAGAGTAACTTACTGTGGTTTTAAAGAGAGATTGGATTTCTAACTCAGCACTGCCAGAAGCAGAACGTAATGAGCCTTTTCTTTCCGTTATTTGAACTGCTAGGAGGAGCATCTCTTTTTCTTCTTGGCTGTCAGTTTTGGAAGTTAGTCACATGAGAGTGGAAGGGAGTACTAAAGGAAGCATAAGCTAAAATACTAAGGAAGTATTACATAAAAATTCTTAAGGTTAAGCTTGATTAAAACAGAGAAGTGTTATAAATTTATTTGAAGATGCGGTAGAAAAAAGTCATACCTGTCTATGACCAGATCCAGCCATTAGTATTTTGTGCCAGCTGTTGGCTTTATTAAAGCTGCTCTGCCACAAGCATGGCACACCAGAGAAGACCAAGGTCTTTGCGCTGATTCTTACTAGACTCATAAATGTGTTACCTTTCATAAACTACTCTTATCACTATTCTTATGCACCTAACACAAAAATAATGGCATCAACAAAACACAGACTCAAGAGTGTTCTTCAGGCTGTCTTCATGTGTGATTGGTTGTAGTTGTTATGTTGTAGTTGCACCTCTAGAATTTTTTTAAAAAAAGTTATGATCCCATCATCAGCTGTTTATTATAAGGCAATAATCAAGAAATTCCTTTGTACTAAAACTGAGACCTGGTGCACATTCAAGAAAAAAACAAATAATTAATCAGGACACCAGTGTTTGTCTATTTTCAGTGTTCTGATGCATGAAAAGGGTTGTATGAAAAAATCTTAAATAAACTTAGCTTAAGGTCTACTTTTTCTAAAGCCCCATTGTACTAAGTCTGGCTGGGATGGAGTTAATTTTCTTCATGGCAGCCCCTGTGGTGCTGTGTTTGGGATTTGTGTTGTGACTAAACCAAGGTTGATAACACACCAGTGGTTTGGCTGTTGCTGAGCAGCACTTGCACAGCTTCAAGGTTTTCTCTTTTCCCACTCTGCCCCCTCAGCGAGTGGGCTGGGGGTGAGCAGGGCGTTGGAAGGGGCCACAACCCGGACAGCTGGCTCAGGGTGACCGGAGGGATATTCCACGCCATATAATGTCACGCTCAGCAATAAAAACTGAGGCGAGGAGCTTTTGGGGGAGGTAGCCATTGCTTAGAGACTGGCTTGGGCATCGGTCTGCTTGTGGGAGGTGCTGAGTGATTGCCTTTGCATCACTTGTTTTGTTTTTTTCTTCCTCTTTCCTTCACTAATTAAACTATATCTCGACCCACAAGTTTCCTCACTTGCGCTCTTTCTGTTCTCTCCCCTGGTCCCTCTGGGAGCTGGGGAGGGAAGGAGCGGCCATGTGGTCCTTAGCTGCTGCCCGGGGTTAGCCCATCACACCCACACAGCAGCATCTGCCAGGGGATCAGCTGCTCCAGTGGGTAGTTCTGGAGTGCAAAGTAAGATACCCAACACATGTTTAATGGTGTAGGTTTCTGTTATGCCCATTCATGGGGAAGTCTTCATGTGAATTCAATAGATCAAAGACCAGATACTCAGTTAATGTTAATTGTTGTAAATCATAGAATCATAGAATCATTTAAGTTCCAACCAAAATTGTTTGGTGTTCAATTGCAGCATTGGGTTTTTTTTTTTACTTTCTAATAGCGCCTCTTACTTCTTTCTTGTTAACTGTTAATATTGTATACATGGTTTTAACTGGCCATTTACCATATCCAGCTAGAATAATAACAGTAAACATGAAAAATACACATACAACCTACACAGTAAAAAAAAAAACAAACCCAAACCTGAACCAAAAACAAGCAGAAGAATGAAAACTAACTCCCTATGAATAATGGTGATGGATTGTATTCTGCGATCCTTCAGATTTCTTAGATAAAAATGTAATCTAGAACACTGAGGGCCCCACAATATTAACATTAATGTTTCCTTAGAGCCATTTATTGTTTACTACATGAAAGAGTAGGGCTCTGCAAAGTTATATCCTACACAAGAAAATTGTATACAGTAACTGCAGTTTTGTACTACCACTGCCAGGCAAATATTGTTGTAATCTTGGTGTTGTTACTGCAGTAAAGTAATCTAAGAGCAAAATCTCTTAAAATAGCTCATTTAAGCTTGCTCTATGTGGAAAGCAGCATGCTTTTACACTAGCTCTCTCCGGGATGCTGCTTACTTTCATTGGGTCTATTTCAGGGCACTTTTCAAACACTTTTGAAACACATTTGCACCTAATACTTAACTGCACAGGCAAAATCATCATCCTTCAGTACAGTTGGATTTGTATCTGATAGATATCGGGTGGAAATAATTTGTACCTAATGTCTGTCAAAGGGGTTGAAAAAATCTGGGGATTTTTTTGGATAGGATGAGTATCTAGGTGAGATTAAGTCATCAGGGCAAGATGCAAAACTCATTGAAGTCAATGGATATCATCCCAATCAATTCAGTAACTTTATGGCAATCCCAGTGAAACAGTTCATCTCAGGATGGGCTTGAGGAAATATTGACAAGTTGTTGAAGAAATGGTGATGGGAGGGAGGGCTGAGAGGTAAGTACCACAGAGGTAGGCTGGGTCAGACATTTCAGAGGTGGAAATTAATAGAAGGGGAGCAGCAGTGCTTGAAGGCACATGCTACTATACATACAATAAGGCATATATTATTTTGAGTGATGTTCAATGCCTAGTTTAATAGGGTGGATAACAAAGGCAGAAAGTTAGGATTTAAAATCAAACTGCTGTTGGTTACATAAAGAAACTAACCGTTAATATGTCGCAGAAGTAATAAGTGTTCTGTGTCTTGGGACTAGAATCATTGCTTTATTAGAGGATATGGTATCATTACATTGTGATAAGTGGTTTATAAAGACATTCTTGTTTGAAACAAATAAATAGAGTTAACAGACTTTTCAACAGTTGCTTGTTTAGATTTACTGTAAATATTAAATGTTGTATGTATACTCAAAAAAATACTTGCGACTGAAAATATTTAGTGTTTTACAGATCCCTCGAGTAAGTGATATAAACTGATAATCTGTCACTGTGAATAATGAACAAAGTAATTCCAGATCTGGAAATGTTTCCTTGAACACCGGTAGGAAAAACCTGTAGCAATGGGGAGCAGAAAGCTTGGTGTGTGTAAATTTTACTATTAAAACATTAGTGACAGAGAAAATGAAAGCTGTCGCTTACCTTGGTTTGAGAAAATGCAGGTCTGCATGTGTTAACTGGTGAAATCATCAAAACAACAAGATCTGCTATATCATGAAATAAGCTTAAGAATCCATCAAATAACCTTACCATGGAAATTTCCCTGCATCTTGCCTATACTTGGAGAGAAGAAATAATTTTTCCTTTCATCATAGGCTAAATGTTGACTTTTATTCAGGAATGGCTTTTAAAAGGCTATTTTTTTCAATGAAAAATAGGTAATTGTATTACCATAAATTTTGTGAATTTCTATACTAATCAGTTTTGAAGTTTCAACATTTGTCTTTAATTATACATTCAATTGTAAACAATAGGGAACAGACTTCTGTGGAATTTTTGTGGCTTTTATATGCCAGAGCCACATGTACGTGGGCAAAAAATAATGTTTTTTTGTGTGACAAAGCAATTCAAATTTTTATCTGGAAATTTTGTGGAAGGTAACTAACTATAAACAAACTCAACCTTAACTTGTTACAAAAGCTGCTGAGCATTATTTTGCAAGATTGAACGCAATATGACTGAAAGAATTTCTTAAAGAGGAGTTATTTTGATCTGGGCAAGAAAACAAATTGAAAATCAGCTTTCTTAGGAATTATTTCTAAGGAAACTATGTGAGATGCTAAGACAAGTTATGTTTTATGTTGTCTTGTTTTTAACTTTCAAAAACGAGTTTTGTTCACATAGAGGAAAAATACCATAGAAACTAATATCTTAAAATTTCTTTTGACTTAGAAAAAACTGACCAAGAGAATAGTGCCGCAGGAGATAAAGACATAAAAAAGCCTTCCAGTAACCAAAGTATACAACCAGAGATACAAGACCAGTCCGTCTGGGGAAATCACACTGATGGTGACCTCATCAGAAGTAAGTATTTCCAGAACAAATTGCTGCCATTTAGGCTTGCTTTCGCCATGTAATGGGATGCTGCCTGTTGACTCAGTTAAATGTGTGTCAAATGCAATAGTGTTGCAACTATAATGGATGTCTACTGAATTTATTTCCTGGAATGAGTTGTGTCAGCATGCATAAGCAACGAGTTCAAAGAAAGGTGTGATTTGAGTGGTGCAGTATAATATAGACATCCGTAGCATCTACATTTTAAAGCCTTAATGTTATATTCTTCTCTTATCATTGATAATGAGATCTGTGTATTTAGCAGGCACATGAGCTGCAATATGCAGCTGTGCTAGGTGTCATCACTTTTGATTTCTCAGGTTATACATTGAAGTGGCAGAGTAAACTGCTGAGAGCAGTTTCTTCTAGATACACTGAGTACTGGTCAGATGTAAGTTTATAAAGAGGTTTGAATCCTAAAGTAGCTAGTCCTTTCAAAACTAGAAGAATGCTGTAAGACAAGGTTTTAGGCCTTAAGTGCTATGGAATTGTGGTTTGTTTTTTTTTTTTTGAAATTAGTTTTTACAAGTCCACATTCCTAGTGTATGTTTTGGATGCTTTAAAAAATAAAAAGGTATGCAAGATTATTCCCATTTTTCTGTCTTGAGTTGAAGATCATATGCTGTCCAAAAGATCATCCACAATTGCACCCTCCTGAGGCAAAAATATTTCTGTCAACTGCCAGAACTAATGCTACTTTAAAATTCTGTGAATGCTTGAACGTTAGTTACTCAAGGGAGGGGCAGCATGAGAAACTGTTCTCTAATTATAGGGTGTATTCAGAAAGCAAATGGACTAAATGCTGAGTGGTGCTGCAGCTCTCCAAGATCGTTGTCTGACCACACACTTCAGGGTCAGTCTGTCTTTACACTGCACACGTACTACACGATACGCAGTGGGGTGAATTCATATTTCTGAACCTGCTGTTGCTATAACTGGTGATTTTCTCTGGAGTTATCTGTTTCTTTCCAGGTTAATTTTTTTTTTTTTTTAAATGTTATCTATATAATCAACTTCTCCTGAACTGTGTGTTAGCATTTGAAGTTCTTTTCAAACCTTAGTTAATACTTTTTTCTAAATAATGAATCCCAGTAAATACTTATATCCTTAATGTATTGAATAGTTACCTAGATCCTTTACAGGAAAAGTTGAATTTAGCATGTCAGATATTTATCTAACAGTTTAAAAATAATTCTTAGGGGGCTACAAATAGGAAGAATTTTCCTTCACAGTTTGAGAGTTTACCTAATTCTGAAAGATCATTATTTTAGAACTAACTGTCCCTGGACAAGCAATTGCTTTGAGCTTGTGTTGAGGATGTGGGAAGGTGCGTATGGCATCTGCTGCTTTTGGAGTGGCCTCCTTCTCATACCCTCTTCTGTCCTGGTTTCAGCTGAGATAGAGTTAATTTTCTTCCTAGTGGCTGGCATAGTGCTGTGTTTTGGATTTAGGATGAGAATAATGTTGATAACATGCTGATGTTTTAGTTGTTGCTAAGTAGTGTTTATACTAGTCAAGGACTTTTGAGCTTCCCATGCCCTGCCAAGTGCACAAGAAGCTGGGAGGGGGCACAGCCAGAAGAGTTGATCCAAACTGCCCAAAGGGCTATTCCATACCATATGATGTCATGCTCAGTATAGAAACTGGGGGAGTTGGCCGGGGAGCAGCGATCGCTGCTCGGGAACTGTCTGGGTATCGGTCGGTGGGTGGTGAGCAATTGCATTGTGCCTCGCTTGTTTTGTGTATTCTGTTATTATTATTATTACTTCTTTCTCTTCCTCTGCTGTCCTATTAAACTGCCTTTATCCAACCCATGGGTTTTACTTTTTTCTTTCTGATTCTCTCCCCCATGCCACCAAGGGGGGATGGTGAGCGAGTGGCTGCATGGTGCTTAGTTGCTGACTGGGGTTAAACCACGACATCTTCCCAGAGACTTCCTTATTCCCAGACCCACGGGAAGCAGATTTATTTGGTAGCAGTTAGCAGTGTGCCTGAACTATGGAGGAAGAGACCAAGGAGAGTAGGGTGGTGCTGTCCTTTCTCTAATCCGTTCACCGCAAGACATGTTTGAGTAGCTGCTGTGATGCAATCCTCTCTTTCTTTCAAAGTCATGATTTTTTTAACCTTTAATGCTAAAGTCTTCTAGATGGAAGACACAAAAATAATGACATTAGAACAGTTTCTTTTTCTTCTTTTTGTAGGGCTGTGGCTATGAGTAGGGAAGTCTGTTCTACTTAAAAAAATTGAAGAACAGTGTTTGGCTCAATTACAAGTACTTCTAGTCTGCAGCAGTTTTACAACTTGATCTACCTAGTAACTAAAGTTTGAAAAACAGAACAAGAGCAAAGAGAAGCTTGTTTATCACAAACATTACTTTGGTATTTCATCTTACAAGTATCGTAGCTCAGAATGACTGTGATTCAACTAGATCTATTACCCCGCTAGACTAAAGTTTGCAGAATATTGTGTATTAAAAGAAGCTTGAGGTTAGAAATAAACAGTGTTTTGATCATTACAGTGTATTTTAAAACTGTTTCTTTAAATTGTTTTAGCCAGGGCATACTTCAGTTTTCTCAGGTATTACCAACGATTCACCACTATCCTAATGATTCAGTTTCTTTTTTTCCGCATACAGATTGTTTTCCACCCCCACAGCTGATACATACTCTATTTGTGTTAGCCTTAGTTTTCACTGTATAAATGTTTCCAGCATTTAATTTCCAAGGTTTTCCTTGTTTGCAGCTGTTTTATCCTGCTGTTATATGGAAGTAGATTAATCAGTCAGTTTTATTGGCACACCAACAACGAAGTCCAGTGTTAGAGGCTCTGCAATGACTTCATTGTGTATGGTTTCTAATTTGCACTTGTGAACTCTGTTTACTGGGCAACATCAATAAACTAAAATGCTGCCCCTGTTTTCCACAGTAAGGCATTTTCAGTTCACCTTGCACTGCCCTTGCAGTCCTTTTCTCAAGCCACCTTTTTTTAATCTCTAGGTGATGAGATTCCCCCAGATCAGCCCTTTCCCCACCTCCTTTGGAGCATCCCTTCTCCCCCTGAATGAAAACATTCATAATATCCCGGGTAAATCGGTAATCTCATGGGAAGCTTCAACCAAGGAATTCATCGTTTTTTGAAAAGAGCTTGAGAGTCATGGTATAGGAATATTAGGTTCCAGCGCACCACAACTTCAAAAGGTTACTGTATACTGGCATATAAACAGGGGAGAGCTAAATAAGAAGAAAATGGTTATATTACCTTTCTGTATTAATTGTTAATGCACTTGCATTACTGTTACTGGAATACTGCATTTAGCTGGAGAAGGGTCAGGGCAGAACCACAAGTATCTCGGGAATGACTGGAGTAGTTGAAAACATACCTTATTGTGGAAAAACTCCTGAAGTTCAATCTGTTTAGTGTTAACAGGGAGGATAAAGAGGGGCTTGCTGAGTATGGAAGAAGCATGATACCCCAGTGAACAGAAATTCGGGAAGACAATTCTTCAGCTGTAGCAGACAAAGGGAGAACTACATGTAACGTCTGGAAGTTAGTGTTGGAAATAAGGTGTACATTTTTTAACGGAGTATTTGAGAACAGGAAGAACTGCCAAATATTTGGTGGTTTTAGGTGTATTAAATTGGCCTTACTCTTCACAAGGTGGCCATTGCTTTCCATATCCTCAATTTTAGAACCTTACTAAGAGAGACTCTCTTTTCCATAGTGATTCCCCCAAATTGGGATAACCTTAGGTTTTTCATCTCAGGTATTCTTCAAGGCAACATTGAGACCTATTCCTTTCCCTTCACCGATGCACACATATTCTGTGTTTTATTTCAGGCTGTAGAGGTTCTGCTTTTTGAAGGAGCTTAGCCTTAGAATAGCTCCATCTGCTTTTCCTTCTTCTTCATCAGTGCGTTTGAGATATCTGCAAAATACATTCTGCTTATTTTCATTGTATGATCTGGTGGCCTGTAATGGAGATGTGCAGCCTCTGTTACTACTCACCTTTGGGAAGTGAGGAACAGTGGATATTAAAACATGCAGCAGGGTAACCTGTGGCTGTAGGAATGAAGCCATAGGAGTTTTTGCTGCTCCACATTACCACAATGCCCTGCTTTGTTCTTTGGAAAAGGTTGGGTTTTTTTTTTTTACCCCCTCCTTAAAAAAAAAAGGCTATAAAGGTGGATTTCAGAATATTTAGGCAGAATTTTTACAGAGGGTACTAGGTTATCATCAATGTGTGCTGTTATGCAGGGGAAGAAATGTTTAGGAGGGAAGAAAATGCCAGTCTTAAACACTATTTGCTTGTGAGGATTTAATCTCCTTTCCAGTTCTCAAGCAGGACCTTAGCTATGTGATATTTAAGAAAACAAAAAACATCTACCATAGATTCAAATTGTCATGAATAATTGATTAATAATAATCCAATTCTCAAGATTAAATGCCTAAAATATGCCCATGTTTTACAGATAGAAAGGTCATTGCTATCCATCATTTCCTAGCTTCAATTGCCTCTTTCTCCTCCATGAAGCACCCTCCTGATAAGTGTGGTTCTTCAGAGAAAGGGATGCTTCATTTAGCCCTGTGGGGATTAAACAATTTTCCATGTTCTTGTGCCCACTACTTTATTTACTACATTCTTCTTTATTGCATTTTGTTTTATTGAAATATAAACCTAGATATTTTTTATAATTTTGTTTTCTGTATTTTTATGTTGACATTTTTACTTTACGTGACTGTTTATTTAATTTTAACATCTGGAGATTCCCTTTTTCTACTGGCTAAGTGAGTGAGTGATTTCCATAGTTTAATTTATGCAGTTTGGGTTTGGAACTTTTTTCCTAACAAGAAGAAGATAATCTGCTGTTAGAACTGTTCTTTTTGTTTTCTATTAATCCAAATATCTTTTCTTGGCTAATTTATAGTGCACAGTCATCTTATAATTATTGTGATTTCAGATGACTGTGTTT